GGGGCTCCGGGGGCCGCCTCCCTCGGGTATTGCTACCCTGGTCTCTGGCATTGCTGGAGGTGAGTGTCAGGGGCAGGCAGCGCTGGCCCAGGGGACACTGAATGGCTTCCCTCCTGTCCTTGGCTTCAGTTTGACTTCCACCCTCCTTACCAGCCTCCCATGTTCAGCCAGAAGTGTGCATGCCCAGTTTTACTCTGCAGCAGCTTTCGCCATGTGTTTACTTCTCCCAAAGATAGGTGCCGAGTAATCTCTGACCAAGGTGGGGCATGACCAAGTTGTCAGTCACGCTCAGGATTGTGACAGTTGGACTTTCATAGATGTCCCTTCTGGGTCTGCTCTGGCCTTTTTGTCCCAATCCTGTGTCCCAGTGGGCCGTTGGCCTGTAGCAGACGGGGCCAGTTCTGCTGCGGGGCCAGCCGTGTCTGATGCCCACCTTGAGTGCTCCTCTGCTCGCACGCTGCAGTGTCCCGGCTGGGTTCCCGTGCCTTCCTGGGCTTCACCCCACCGTGAGGTTGCCTCTTCCACTGATGAATTCCCCAGTTTCACTTGGGGCTGTGTTCTGACCTTTGCCTGGTTTCTTAGTGTGGTTATGTCCAATAGTTTTACAGTTTCTTTCCCCTCTCACCCTGAGAAGACAAAAGTCCTTGCCCTGGAATTAAGCCCTCAGGATCACTAAACCCCTTCTGTACCTGTCTTGTCCTCTGGCCTCACCTAGGATCTTTTTCACCAGAGTCCCCATCACTTGTACCTCTTCATCTTGGGAAGTGACCAAGTACTTTCTTTTCCTTAGACTCCTGTGGTACAGATGGCTCCGCTTCCTTGGGGGAAGTGTCTCCAGAATGACCACAGTATGCGGTTTTAGCATAGGCTCTTCTAAACAAATACTGGTTCTGAATTTATGAAACTTCCCACCAAAAAAGCATGTCTTTTGCCTCAGAGCACTGGGGAGCCCGAGGAGCAGGAGCACCCCTTTGTTTCCTGCTGCTGGAGAGCACTGAGGATGCAGACCTAGCAGGGTCTCGGGAGCATTCCCTCAACCCTTCTGGAGGTGGAGTACCAGGCAGGCCAGCAGCCAGGCCTTCTGCTCCAACCGCTTCCTCCAGGGCACATCCTACTGCCACTCTTCCCTACACTTCACACCAGGCTCATGGTCTTACTCTTCTTTCTTACTTTCTTTCACACATACTGCTCTTCCCCGAAAGGTAGAGGGCAGAGGTAGGGTCTTAGAGGAGGTATGGTGAGGAGGAAAAGGGTTTTTGGCAGGTTGTGTCCGGCATGGCTCTGGTGAGTCCCCTAGCCCCCAATTCATCTAATTTCTCTCTCCTCTTTTCCTGCTCCCCATGGGCTATCCCGAGCACAGAAGAACAGCAGCGAGGTAGAGATTCATCCTGGCTGGGGGTTACCAGGGCTTATGGCAGTTGGGGCCGGGAGAACAGGGTGAGACACCCCCACCTTGGGAGCAGTGAGGACTGGAGGTGGGAGGGGATAAGGAAAGGGTATGAGCAGGGGTGGAGCCCATCGTTAGCCCTGTCCACCTTGGGCTGATGACATATGTGTGGTTCCTACAGGAGGTGTCCCTGGGCAGGCTCCAGGGTCTATGCCAGGCCCTGGGCTGGTGAAGGACTCCCCACTGCTGCTTCAGCAGATCTCTGCCATGAGACTGCACATTTCCCAGCTCCAGCATGAAAATAGCATCCTCAAGGTGAGGGGGTCATGGGGAGGACTGGGGTGGAGGTGGAGTGTGCTGGCCCCATTGGTGATGGATGGCAGCAGCCTTTAGCACCTCTTACCACACCCCTTTGTTTCCTGCACAGGGAGCTCAGATGAAGGCCTCCTTAGCAGCCCTGCCCCCTTTACATGTGGCAAAGCTCTCCCTCCCACCCCATGAGGGCTCTGGCAGTGAGCTACCAACTGGAGCACTGTATCGTAAGACAAACCAGCTGCTGGAGACGTTGAATCAGCTGAGCACACACACCCACATAGTAGACATCACTCGCACCAGCCCTGGTAGGGACCTGCCAACCCCTGAGATGGCTAGCATGCCCCTTCTCTTGCCCCAGGGATGTAGCCCCTGCCCAGGCAATCCCCATACTTCCCGGCATGTCTCTGGACTCTGTTCAGTTTGCTTGATTTAACCACTGTCTTATGTGCCTGCTTCATGGGAGGTTCTTGTATTTGCACTCTTGACCCTTCACCTGGAACAGCTGCCTGCCTTGGCCTTGGTGGGTCTCATGAGCCTTCCCTCCCCACAGCTGCCAAGAGCCCATCAGCGCAGCTCCTGGAGCAAGTGGCTCAGCTCAAGTCCCTAAACGACACCATCGAGAAGCTCAAGGTCAGCCCAGACCCTACCTTTCCTCATTCTACAGAGCTCGCTTTAGAGCATTCCCTGGTGGAGCCCAGAGCTCATTCATTTCTATGGGCACTCCTGGAGTTCCTCTGAGCCTGGCCCTGTGCTAGATGGCACGCTGGGGAGGGCGTAGAAGGGAGGGCAGGGTCCCTCCCTTAGCAACTCAGTCTTGGTGCAAACAGAAGACAGATTCCCACCGAATGTGTTGAGCTTGGATCATCTTTAGAGTGTGAGGTTCTGGTACAGTTTCTGTCAGAGCTGAGATCACGGTGGGGTAGTGATTGGGGATGGCTTCCTGGAGGCTGTAGAATCTGAGTTGGGCCTTTAAGGGAATTCTCTGTAAAGAAGGATGTTGGATGGGGTTGGGGTTGGAGGTGAGAACAAAAGTATGGTGACAGAGAGGACTGAGTCCCTGTTCCCCTGGTGTTAGTGTCTCTGTGAAATCAGGGAGATACTGGACTAGCTGGTGGGGGTACCCTAAATTTACCTTTGTCCCCATCCTCCTCTACCAGGATGAGGTCCTCAAGGAGACTGTATCTCAGCGGCCTGGAGCCATGGTCCCCACTGACTTTGCCACCTTCCCTTCATCAGCCTTCCTCAGGGTAAGAGGGAGCATGAGGGGGTGGGCAGTGTGGAGGGTTGTGTGTCCTTCCCTCTCCCCTGGAATTTGAGGAGGCCTCTGGGGTCTCAGTCCAACAAGTACACATCCAGAGTTAATGACCAAGTCTTAATTGCAGTGTTGGCAGTGCTTCCACATATTCCAATATTTTAGCAGTTAAACATCTTCTATGACTTTTGACACCAGGAGAGACTCAAAACTCCCTTGTCAGACTATGTACCTCAATTTCGGTTAGAAAGAGGTGGTCACCACAGGCCAGGATCCCCAGAGCCATAGTCTCCCAGGAGCTGTCCTGGTCTCGGTGCTCAGTGGCCCTGTCAGTGGCACACAGCTCAAGTGAGCCCCTGCCTGACCTGGGCGCCTCTTCCCTTTGCTAACTCCCAGGCCAAGGAAGAGCAACGGGATGACACTGTTTTCATGGGCAAAGTGACCTTCTCGTGCGCAACTGGCTTTGGACAGCGACACAGGCTGGTGCTGACCCAGGAGCAGCTGCACCAGCTTCACAGTCGCCTCATCTCCTAAGTGCTCCTTGCCCACAGTCCCCTTTTCCCCTCAGCCCTCCTGGTGCCACTCTGCCTGATGCACAGCCACCTCAGCTAGTCCCCAGGTAGAACCGTGTGTGTAAGAACAGCTGTTCCTGCCCGGTTCAGCTTCACTCCCACCTGTCCATGCCCTGCCTCCACTCTGTGACATGGGTCTCCTATTTCCATCCTCTGGCCTCTGCCAGAGTTCACTATTCAGCTGCTCCCTCCTTCCTAGGGGGGGTCAGGGTATGTTGGGCTAGGCTGAGACCCTACCACCAAAGGTTGAGTGAGGTCCCGATCAAGGACTTAACCCCTTGATTAAAGCAACTTCTGCTTCAGTGCTTTCTGTTTGGTGTTGGGAGTGGGACTTGGGCCATTCAGCTCAGAGCAGGATTGGAGAAGGAATGCTGAGGAAGCTTTGGCTGTGCCAAATTGAAGGGCCATTGTCTGTAGTGACCAGTAAAATGCCATGTCACTCAAGTGGATGTGCAGTAACAAGGGAGAAAGGGCGAGGCCAAGGGCCCTGCAACTGATTTCTTTTATGGAGTTAGGAGGGCTGGGAGCATGTAGCCTCTGCCCTCCTACCTCCATTGCTCCTCCTACCCAGTTGTCATTGATGCCAGAGGGACAGTTCCAAAATGCAAAGTGGGCCATGTCATTCCCTGCTTTAAATCCTGAAATGGTTCTTCCAGGTGTCTAGAATTTAAAATTAAATTCCTAGAGTGGCACATGAGACCGTCTTATGATTTGGGTCCTGCCCACCTCCCCTGCCTTTCATGGGGCTACGTCTCCACGTGTGCCTTGTGGTCCAGCTTCAGTGAGCCCCTGCAGTGCTTCCCCACCCTGTGCTCAGGCCTCTTTCCCACTGTCCACAGTGCCAGCTACCTCCTGCCCTCCACCCTAGCCCCCTGCCCACACCCCACCCCATCTCAGCTGAGATCCTGCCTATTAAGAAAGTTCTGGTATTGTCTCTTGAGGAACACTAATCCCTGTGACTTGTTACGAGCTCCTCTTGTGGAGGCAGCAGGGAATATGAGTGTTTTTTTCCAGGTGTCTTCAGATCTGGTTGCTTTGTGACCTTGGCAAGGTTTCAGATCTCTGGTCTGCATTCTCAACTGCAGGGTATATGATCCCTTACTGGGTTGTTACACAGGTTAAAAGAGGTAGTGCAGGCAAGCCTCCCTCACCGTGCCTGGCACACAGCAAGCTTCCTTCTCTTCTTCAGCACATGTTGCCACTATCCTGCTTTATAACAGCCAGTGAATCCTCCCGTTGTAACTGAGAGTGTCATCTGTCTTCTGCTTTAGACAGACTGAGGGCTCCTTTGAGTGTCTTCCATCTCTGTGTCCCCCAAACACAGGAGAAGGGCCCGTGTTTGGGGAAGAGAACTGTGAGTTTCATTTTGGAAATGAGTTGGAGGTGCACCCTACACTTCACACCAGGCTCATGGTCTTACTCTTCTTTCTTACTTTCTTTCACACATACTGCTCTTCCCCGAAAGGTAGAGGGCAGAGGTAGGGTCTTAGAGGAGGTATGGTGAGGAGGAAAAGGGTTTTTGGCAGGTTGTGTCCGGCATGGCTCTGGTGAGTCCCCTAGCCCCCAATTCATCTAATTTCTCTCTCCTCTTTTCCTGCTCCCCATGGGCTATCCCGAGCACAGAAGAACAGCAGCGAGGTAGAGATTCATCCTGGCTGGGGGTTACCAGGGCTTATGGCAGTTGGGGCCGGGAGAACAGGGTGAGACACCCCCACCTTGGGAGCAGTGAGGACTGGAGGTGGGAGGGGATAAGGAAAGGGTATGAGCAGGGGTGGAGCCCATCGTTAGCCCTGTCCACCTTGGGCTGATGACATATGTGTGGTTCCTACAGGAGGTGTCCCTGGGCAGGCTCCAGGGTCTATGCCAGGCCCTGGGCTGGTGAAGGACTCCCCACTGCTGCTTCAGCAGATCTCTGCCATGAGACTGCACATTTCCCAGCTCCAGCATGAAAATAGCATCCTCAAGGTGAGGGGGTCATGGGGAGGACTGGGGTGGAGGTGGAGTGTGCTGGCCCCATTGGTGATGGATGGCAGCAGCCTTTAGCACCTCTTACCACACCCCTTTGTTTCCTGCACAGGGAGCTCAGATGAAGGCCTCCTTAGCAGCCCTGCCCCCTTTACATGTGGCAAAGCTCTCCCTCCCACCCCATGAGGGCTCTGGCAGTGAGCTACCAACTGGAGCACTGTATCGTAAGACAAACCAGCTGCTGGAGACGTTGAATCAGCTGAGCACACACACCCACATAGTAGACATCACTCGCACCAGCCCTGGTAGGGACCTGCCAACCCCTGAGATGGCTAGCATGCCCCTTCTCTTGCCCCAGGGATGTAGCCCCTGCCCAGGCAATCCCCATACTTCCCGGCATGTCTCTGGACTCTGTTCAGTTTGCTTGATTTAACCACTGTCTTATGTGCCTGCTTCATGGGAGGTTCTTGTATTTGCACTCTTGACCCTTCACCTGGAACAGCTGCCTGCCTTGGCCTTGGTGGGTCTCATGAGCCTTCCCTCCCCACAGCTGCCAAGAGCCCATCAGCGCAGCTCCTGGAGCAAGTGGCTCAGCTCAAGTCCCTAAACGACACCATCGAGAAGCTCAAGGTCAGCCCAGACCCTACCTTTCCTCATTCTACAGAGCTCGCTTTAGAGCATTCCCTGGTGGAGCCCAGAGCTCATTCATTTCTATGGGCACTCCTGGAGTTCCTCTGAGCCTGGCCCTGTGCTAGATGGCACGCTGGGGAGGGCGTAGAAGGGAGGGCAGGGTCCCTCCCTTAGCAACTCAGTCTTGGTGCAAACAGAAGACAGATTCCCACCGAATGTGTTGAGCTTGGATCATCTTTAGAGTGTGAGGTTCTGGTACAGTTTCTGTCAGAGCTGAGATCACGGTGGGGTAGTGATTGGGGATGGCTTCCTGGAGGCTGTAGAATCTGAGTTGGGCCTTTAAGGGAATTCTCTGTAAAGAAGGATGTTGGATGGGGTTGGGGTTGGAGGTGAGAACAAAAGTATGGTGACAGAGAGGACTGAGTCCCTGTTCCCCTGGTGTTAGTGTCTCTGTGAAATCAGGGAGATACTGGACTAGCTGGTGGGGGTACCCTAAATTTACCTTTGTCCCCATCCTCCTCTACCAGGATGAGGTCCTCAAGGAGACTGTATCTCAGCGGCCTGGAGCCATGGTCCCCACTGACTTTGCCACCTTCCCTTCATCAGCCTTCCTCAGGGTAAGAGGGAGCATGAGGGGGTGGGCAGTGTGGAGGGTTGTGTGTCCTTCCCTCTCCCCTGGAATTTGAGGAGGCCTCTGGGGTCTCAGTCCAACAAGTACACATCCAGAGTTAATGACCAAGTCTTAATTGCAGTGTTGGCAGTGCTTCCACATATTCCAATATTTTAGCAGTTAAACATCTTCTATGACTTTTGACACCAGGAGAGACTCAAAACTCCCTTGTCAGACTATGTACCTCAATTTCGGTTAGAAAGAGGTGGTCACCACAGGCCAGGATCCCCAGAGCCATAGTCTCCCAGGAGCTGTCCTGGTCTCGGTGCTCAGTGGCCCTGTCAGTGGCACACAGCTCAAGTGAGCCCCTGCCTGACCTGGGCGCCTCTTCCCTTTGCTAACTCCCAGGCCAAGGAAGAGCAACGGGATGACACTGTTTTCATGGGCAAAGTGACCTTCTCGTGCGCAACTGGCTTTGGACAGCGACACAGGCTGGTGCTGACCCAGGAGCAGCTGCACCAGCTTCACAGTCGCCTCATCTCCTAAGTGCTCCTTGCCCACAGTCCCCTTTTCCCCTCAGCCCTCCTGGTGCCACTCTGCCTGATGCACAGCCACCTCAGCTAGTCCCCAGGTAGAACCGTGTGTGTAAGAACAGCTGTTCCTGCCCGGTTCAGCTTCACTCCCACCTGTCCATGCCCTGCCTCCACTCTGTGACATGGGTCTCCTATTTCCATCCTCTGGCCTCTGCCAGAGTTCACTATTCAGCTGCTCCCTCCTTCCTAGGGGGGGTCAGGGTATGTTGGGCTAGGCTGAGACCCTACCACCAAAGGTTGAGTGAGGTCCCGATCAAGGACTTAACCCCTTGATTAAAGCAACTTCTGCTTCAGTGCTTTCTGTTTGGTGTTGGGAGTGGGACTTGGGCCATTCAGCTCAGAGCAGGATTGGAGAAGGAATGCTGAGGAAGCTTTGGCTGTGCCAAATTGAAGGGCCATTGTCTGTAGTGACCAGTAAAATGCCATGTCACTCAAGTGGATGTGCAGTAACAAGGGAGAAAGGGCGAGGCCAAGGGCCCTGCAACTGATTTCTTTTATGGAGTTAGGAGGGCTGGGAGCATGTAGCCTCTGCCCTCCTACCTCCATTGCTCCTCCTACCCAGTTGTCATTGATGCCAGAGGGACAGTTCCAAAATGCAAAGTGGGCCATGTCATTCCCTGCTTTAAATCCTGAAATGGTTCTTCCAGGTGTCTAGAATTTAAAATTAAATTCCTAGAGTGGCACATGAGACCGTCTTATGATTTGGGTCCTGCCCACCTCCCCTGCCTTTCATGGGGCTACGTCTCCACGTGTGCCTTGTGGTCCAGCTTCAGTGAGCCCCTGCAGTGCTTCCCCACCCTGTGCTCAGGCCTCTTTCCCACTGTCCACAGTGCCAGCTACCTCCTGCCCTCCACCCTAGCCCCCTGCCCACACCCCACCCCATCTCAGCTGAGATCCTGCCTATTAAGAAAGTTCTGGTATTGTCTCTTGAGGAACACTAATCCCTGTGACTTGTTACGAGCTCCTCTTGTGGAGGCAGCAGGGAATATGAGTGTTTTTTTCCAGGTGTCTTCAGATCTGGTTGCTTTGTGACCTTGGCAAGGTTTCAGATCTCTGGTCTGCATTCTCAACTGCAGGGTATATGATCCCTTACTGGGTTGTTACACAGGTTAAAAGAGGTAGTGCAGGCAAGCCTCCCTCACCGTGCCTGGCACACAGCAAGCTTCCTTCTCTTCTTCAGCACATGTTGCCACTATCCTGCTTTATAACAGCCAGTGAATCCTCCCGTTGTAACTGAGAGTGTCATCTGTCTTCTGCTTTAGACAGACTGAGGGCTCCTTTGAGTGTCTTCCATCTCTGTGTCCCCCAAACACAGGAGAAGGGCCCGTGTTTGGGGAAGAGAACTGTGAGTTTCATTTTGGAAATGAGTTGGAGGTGCCTGTGAGGTCCAGGTGGAGAGGACCTTTGGCAGTTGGACCCAGCTGGGTCTGGATCGTGTCAGAGAAGTCTGGATTCGGGTAAATTTGGAGAATGAGTTCTGTCAGTGGCAGTTGATGACATGTTTGGATGAGGTGTGCCATCTTAATTCACGTACTTGGAAAGCCCTCCTTGAGGCAAAGCTGAAGTGCACTGTTGGCAGGTGCAATCCCAGAGCAGTGGGAGGAAGGGAAAGGAGTGAAGGAAGCTAGGCAGGGAAAGAGAAGACGATGTAAGGACTGTTTGAATGAGTTGGCCACTTCTTCACAGGCACACTGGCCACTTGCCCACATGTGATATCTCAGTATAGCCTGGATGCAGATACCACACTTGGCTGGAACATTATGTTGGGGTTGCTGGAGCAATGCAGGAAATTCACCTGCTCTCCCTCCTGTCTCTTTGTCTCCTGTCTTGTTGCTCTAAGTTTGTCCTGTGGTGTGTTTGCTCCCTTCACTTGCCAGGATTGTATTACTTGACCACCAGCAAGGCCAGATCCCTTGCTCTGCACCATGGCATGTCATCTAAGTCCTGTAGCAGTGAGGCGAATAGAAGGGCACTGGTCTGTAAAACTTGGTCAAGGCAGAGCAAGCAGCTAGAGGCCTGGGAGTCAGGTGAGGCCACAAGTTCCCTGAGGAGAGTGTCCAGGGCAGGGACAGGGGCAGGGTGGAGCCCTGGGAAGTCCTGTGAGTCAAAGAGCCTGCTGCAGAGCCTGAGGGAGCATCCACTGGACAGAGGTCCCCAGAGGAAGTGGTAACAGGGCCAAGGAGTCAGGAGAGAGTCAAGGAGAATCACAACTGGGTTGTGGAGGCAAGAATGGGGAGAGCAGCATGTGTGCACTGCTGTGTCCTGATATGCAGTTGTGGAAGTTGGGTGGCCAAGGGGATGTCAGATAGCTGACGGAAGCAGCATTGCCTGTAGATGGTGGTAATAGAGCTACTCGCGGGGCCCAGGAGGTTTCTGGAAACTGGGTTGTGATGGTGGGGAGAAAGAGCCCTAGAGAGGCACTCTGTAACCAGGGGTGGAGCATAGCATGGGAACAGCCTCCTATAATTCAACCAAACCCAGAACTGCCAGCTGTGACATGAGAACCAAGCAGACTGGCTGGCAGATAGTGGAGGCAGGGTTTGAACATTGCCAATTTTGACCTCTAGGAACCTGTCTTTTTTGGGGCTCAGGGGCAGATTCCCAGGGTCAGCATCATCTTCCCCAACATGGAGGCAGCTTTGTAAAGTAAGAATAAAGCTCATATCCAGCTCCTCACTTACAAGCTGTGTGTATTTGGGGAAGTTACTTGGTCCCTTGACCTCAGTTTCTCTGTTATATGAGGCTAATAGCACCTTCCTCAGGTGATATTTCTTCCTCAAGTGACCTTCAGGGGAAGATTAAATGAGATAGTATGCTCAATTTGCAGGTACGTGATTAAAAAAGGATACTCAGGAGAGACTAGTACTGAACAAATGAAATGAAATACAAGCAGCCACATTCCCAAGACATACTCGTATGACACATATAACCATATACCATATTTTGGATCCCAAAGGATAGGGTCCTTGGTGCCTCAACTTTTGGCTGGGTGGTTTCCATGGGTAGTTACCAACTTATTTTCTACCATCCTGGTACTATGTCCTGCTCTTAGCAGTCCAGGGTTGAGGGAGAGTCAAAGGTTTGTGTCATTACCCTGCCCCAGTTTGAATTTATCTGTGTGGTTCCCATTTTCTGTGCTACCCCACAGTGGGGAGCAGATGTCGGGGCCATACAGACCTGAGTCTCTGCTGGCTAATCCTGGGAAATGTGCAAAGCCCCAGAGCTCATTTGGCTCTACCCAGCCTTGGTGAACCAGGAGCAGGTGTGCTCTACACTCCGGGTGTGCTCTACACTGGGGAAGCAGCTTATTATGGAATACCTTGACCCCTGTCAAGTAGGTGCAGGACACCTGGAGAACACGAGATCTGAGGGTGAGTGGCCGCTCCTGCTTCCCTGTGGGAGCTCTACACAATGTAGCTCTCTATTATATTAAGAAGCATGTCCATTTGCTCAGACTAAAGTCACCTCTGCCACATGTGCCCACCAGAACCAGCACTGCCACTCAGGGACAGACAGCTGCTGCTGCTGAGATGCTCACAGGTGGCCTGGAAGGTTGGGCTTTCATTTTTCTCCAGAAGGCTGGGGAGTTTGGGGGTGAGACCTGGATGTGTCTTGCTCAAATAACTGGTTAGATTAAATGTCTGTCACTGTATTTTTTTCTATTACTTTTTATTACAGGAAATTTTAACATACAAATGAAGTGAGTAAAGTGTAGAGTGTAATGAATTTCTTTGTGCTCATATTTATCATTTCTTGACCAATCTTGTTTCATCTATATCTGCTCTTCACTCCTCTCCCCCCAGAGTATTTTGAAGCAAATTCCAGGCATAATCTCATCATTTCATCTGAACATATTTTAATATCTCTAGGAATAACTCTTAAAAAAAGAAAACTGCAGTACCATTATCATACCTCAATAAATCATCAAATGTCCAGTGTTCAAATTCCCCTGATTGTCTCATAAATGTTCTATTTTGTCTTGTTTTATTTTATATTATGTGCATTTAGGTAAGGTTCAAGAAAAAGATAACACACTACAAATAGTTGTTCCTTGAGTCCCAGATTCTCAAGTACCACTATTATACCAATACAACATAGGCTTTATTTGCAGATACCTTAAACTTCATTTTCAATGTGTCAGCAATTCAAAAATATATTATTCTGAGACTACAAAAAACAACATGGAGGAAGATTGAGAACATAAGTTCCCAGTACTTAGTGACAGTGATTGTAGAGATTTTCCTTTCAGTTTTCTACTTAAAACATTTAGGATGTCTTCATGACTGCAAGAACAGAGCTGCTGGAGGGGAATATAAAAAAAAGAAAAAGAAAAATGGACTCAAAGTTAGCGACAGGAAGGATGGAAGTTCAAGGAGAAAGAATGTATTTAAAAACTATAAGGATTTTCTATGCATTCAGAGTATAGGCAGCTATCTTAGTTCAGGCTGCTATAACAAAATACTGTAAACTGGGTGGCTTAACAAAAATTTTTTCTCACAGTTCTGGAGGCTGAAATTCTGGGATTAGGTTGCCAGTCTGGTCAATTTATGGCCTCTTGTATATGGCCTATGTATATTCTGCAGTTCTCTGTCCTCTTAGAAGGTCTCTACTCCCATTCATGAGGGCTCCATGCTCATGACCTAATCACCTACAGTCAAATACCATTGCATTGGGAATTAGATTTCAACATAGGAATTTTGAGGGATATAACATTCAATCCATAACAGCATCCAAATATGAGGTGCTAAAGAAAGAAACTGTATCTTCTGTCTCAAGTTGCCCATTACTTGAGCCAAATAGGTAGTGTCCACTTGAGGAGTGCTCTCCTTGCAGCATGGTACAAAAAGATGGGGCAGGAGGAAAGGAAAGAGGTGGGGAAGCACCTTGAGTTTGAGATACTGTAGGTGATGGGTATCAGAACCTTCACTTTGGGAAACCTGTTAAAAAGCTGAAGCTGTGACTCAACAACTTTTAAATAATGATAGATGTAACAAATTACTACTGAAGAACTGTAAGGATTGAAAAAAATGTATGGAGGGGGTGCCAGACAGATACCCAGGCAGCAGGGCAAAGCAGTTATTGAAAAAGTACTTTAAACAGTTCTGCTCTACAGGTCAGGTTAAAAATTCTAAACCCCCTGGCTTTAGATTAAATGATGGAGCAAATACCAAGTAAAGCTTTGCTTCAAATGCAGCAACTGGATGAAACTAAAATTCAATACACACTTCCCTAAAATATAACTTGGAAGAGCCCCTTGAACTTCAAGCCATAGCCACTGGCCAAAGATATACCTTACTGGATGTAACATTTGCAAATATTCTCCCATTCAGTAGGTTGCCTTTTTCTTTTTTATTGATTGTTTCTTTTGTTTTTTAGAAGTTTTTTAGTTTAATTTAGTTGGACTTGTTTATTTTTGTTTTTCTTTCCTTTGCTGTGGAGACACATTCAGAAAAAAGATTATTAGTGCTGATGCTTGAGTGTACTGCCTATATTTTCTTCTAGGAATTTTATTGTTTCAGGTCATATTTATTTTTCAGGATATGTGAATATGTAGATATGTATGTATGTATGTGCATATATACATACATGTATACATGGAGTTTATTTTTGTGCTTTGTGTAAGACAGTGATCTAGTTTCATTCTTTTGCATGTGGCTGTCCCATTTTCCCAATACCGTTTATTGAAGA